GGTCTGGGGCTCAGACCTTATATATTATTGCTTAAAATGTCATTTATTGGAAGTAAATAGTACATGCAGCACTGGCCTGCGTTTGTTCAGGTTGACTCTTATGTGGGATGATGCAGAGTCCCAGCATCGGTTCAGCCCTTGGAGTCTGTCACCTCCGGGCCTTTGGTCGTGGGGGTTTCCGTGGACCACCAGAACCCTGCCAGCTCGTAGCTCTTTCCTCACAGGCTGAGCACTACCGTCTTGACTGGCACCGCTTCAACCTGAAGCAGCGACTCCTGGGGCGCCGGACACTGCCAGTAGAAGTGTTTGAGGAGAAGACCCGCACAGGTGAGGAACGGGGCTGCCCCCAGCAGAGCCTTGAGGCTGTCAGCAGCCTCACTGACACTGTTCTGTGCAGGGACAAAGCTCAGGGTCCCTTTATTCTGCCCCTGTGGCATCTTCTGGGGGTCCAGCACTGCTCCTGAGCTCTGCTGACTTGTTATGGGGAGAAGGGGGTGTTCTACCTGAGCTCATATCTAGGCATACCTGGGGTCCAGAGCCCCAGACGCCTATCTCCTGGGCCCACAGACCCTTTGTGATGTGTAGGGTATTGGACAGGACATTTCTGGAGTCATGGGCTGGCCCTTCGAGTCACCGGAAAAGATTTGTGGAGGCTGTTGGTTAATCTTTGCCGTGCTCCGCTGCTCCAGTTTCTTTCCCTTGCAGGTGATGTTTCCAGCATCTCAGGGTCTGATTCAGATAGCTCCGATGCAAGCAGTGAGTCAGACTCGTTGCCCTCTGCCAGCAACAACTCCAAGACCCCCCCAGTCCCCCGCTCCCACAAGGTGCTGCTCCGCAACGCGAACGGCCAGCTCATCTCTGCCTACCGCTGCGTGCTGGGCACCAGGAAGGCAAGTTACAGCCCAGCTTGTTGGGAGAGGGACCCCAGAGAAGGCAGGTGGCACCAGGGTGTAGACATGTACCTGACAGTCCCTCATGTCCCATGATGGGAAGGGTGGTCTCTGTTGCCAGGTGAGAGCCCTAGGCTTGCTGGTGGCCTGTTTTTTGACTCCTGGAAACCTGCTTCTGGTGCCAGCAGAGAGGCTGGTCTCTGTCCTGGGGAACAGAAAGAGGTGGCAAGGTGATCCCGTGGATGCTAGCAGGGGTTTCTGTGTCTCAGGGTGGCCGCGAGGAGCCAGCGGAACTGATAGCATCACTGCAGAGCCTCAGTGCAAGCACCTGCTGGGTTGTGCTGATGATGGGCGGCGGGCACTTTGCAGGAGCTGTGTTTCGAGGGTGAGTACAGGGGGATGGAGCTGGGGTTGCTCCTCTGGGCAGGGTTGAGTGGGGCTAGGCACTGGATGGCCATCCCCTCTCCACTTCTCCACCCCAGTGCTTACCGCACCCTGGATGCCCACAGCTTTGCTTGAGAATTGTCTAAGCCTAGTTGCACTGCAAGAGAAATATTAATCTTTAGGGACCCAGGGCAAGCCACAAGCCCTCTGGGGTCCCAGGAGCATCAGCTCACCTCCTCTTCATATGTGGGGCCCTGTTGCTCATGCCTGTCCCTCTCTGCAGTCCCCAGGTGCAGGAGCACAAGACCTTCCACCGCTACACAGTGCGAGCCCGGCGGGGCACAGCCCAGGGCTTACGGGATGCCCAGACCCCAGGGTTGGCACCCAGGTCGGCTGGAGCCTCCCTGCGGCGTTACAACGAGGCCACGCTGCTCAAAGTGAGGATGCACCACAGCACTGGGCTCTTGGCAGGGAAACGTGGTCGTGGCGGGCTCTGAGGGCATGGGTGGGGTGTGAGCTCTGAAAGGGGGTTGGGGCCCAATTGAGGCTGCTCTGCCCCTGCTCCAGAACTACCTGTGCCCGCACAGTGTGCTTGGGACCCCATAATGCCTCCCTTTCCTCCCTAGGATATTCAGGAGCTGCTGGCAGCCTGGGCACAGCACCTGAATGAAGCTCAGCGCATCTTCCTCCGGGCCCCTCGTCACAGCCGTGCGGTGCTCTTCGGTGGCAAGAACCCACCCCTCACCCGGGGTGACCCTCGCATCTACCACATCCCCCTCAGCACCCACAGGGCCACCCTGCGAGAGGTGCTGCAAGTCCATGCCACACTGGCCAGTTTGCAGGTGTATGGTGAGTTGGACCAGCCCCAGTGCTTGTGGGTCAGAGCAGGTGGGGTGGTCACTCATGTAATCTGTTGTGTGTTAGGGGATGTTGCCCTATGGGGTTGAGCTCCAGCTCTCCACCCCTCAACCCCTGGAGATGTGGGGTACTCCCTGTCCCCAGGCAATGACAGGAGCAACCTTGCTCCCCAGGGAAGGACACACCACTTGAGGACATCACTGGGTCCCCCCGGAAGGGCTGGCAGAAGAGGCGGCAGAAAGCAGAGGTGGATCCCCCGCAGGAGGACACAAGTGGTGAGTTGAGCCATGGAGCAAGTGGAGGGGTCTGGTGTTACGGTGTGGGGGCCGGGTTTGCAGCCCTGTGACGTGGCTGGTACCACAGTGGGGATCTGCAGAGCGTGGCCTCGTGCTGAACAGGAGAAGGGCAAGGTGTGCTTGGCTGAGATCACCAAGTGATTCATGCTCTGTGTGGGGCCTCAGCCCCTGTTTTATCACCCCCCTCAGCCCCAGAGGAGGAGGAGGAAAGCCCTGCAGGGGAGCTGGAGACTGTGGAAGTGACACTGGGGACCTTGGACCTTCGGGAGTTTGAAGTGATGCCCAAGCGAAACCGCAAAAGGAGGAAGAAGAGGGACAAGAAGGTGGAGAAAGGTAAGGGTGAGAACTGTCTGGGGACAGTGTAGGAAGGCATTAGGGACGGGACTGCCATGGCTGAGGTGCAGGCTGGCTCTGGCCCTCTTCCTCACCATGTGCTCACTGCGCAGGGCCCCGTGATGAAGACATGGGATGCCATGGTACCCAGCATGGGCAGCCCAGCCTGGAGCTGGTGACAGAGCTGCAGGGGGAGGCTGGGACTGACCCCCTTCCCTGGGGTGACAGAGGTAAGTGGGGTTGGGAGCTGGGCCAGGTGGACACCTGTGCCGTTTCGTGGTGGCTTTGCAGTGGGGTGAAGAGCACATCATCATGCAGGTGCCCAGAGCAGCTGGGTGTGGGATGGCTGTAGTGCAGCCACATGCCTTCGAGTGAGCCCTGTGTGTGGGGCAGTAGCTTTGAAGCAGGGGGCAGGCAGCAAAGCCAGGTGTGTTGGGGGAGATTGGAGTGGGTCTTATCTCAGGAGAAGGCTTGGCTGCTGCCAACAGTGCCCAGTAGTGCCACGGTACATTGTCACAGACCCTCAAGGTGCTGGAGATCCTGCGGTCCCCAAATCCAGCTAGCAGGATGATGCTTCAGTTGCACCCTGTGGGTTTTCTGATCAGACCAGAGCACCACTCTGCCCAGGGAGCCATCCGACTCCCCTCCTATTCTTCCTGCATAGGAGACCCTCAGACCAAGCTCCGTGATGGCCTGTTCACCGCCTGCAAAACAGGGGATGTGGGGACGCTGCGGAACCTCCTGAGCATGCCAGAGAGCAGGGGGTTGCTGGGGGACCATGAAGAAGGGGAGGGCACGCAGCCCCTGGATATGCCCCGCTCCCTACTCAACCAGCCCGTGGATGAGCATGGCTGCACCCTGCTTCATGTGGCAGCACGTGCGGGGAAGGCTGAGGCTGTGTGCCTGCTGCTGCAGGCGGGGGCTGACCCTGCCCTCAGGTACGGCCGCAGGGCACCCAGCAGTCAATGAGCACAGCCCCCACTGTGGGAGCCCAGCAACTCACTCCTGTCTCAGGCTGATGCCAGCTTTGTCCTGGGACAGCTGGGGTTGATCTCTCCCAGCTGGAAACTCTGGGTTTGTTACGGGAAGCCTAGGAGCTGAGCCACAATTCTCTGTGCCTGCTTGGGTCTGGCACAGCGGCAGGCAGGCACTGCGCCAAAGTGCTCCCAGGTGTATTGGTAGGCAGTTCAGAGGGTAGGCATGAGATCACCCTTTGCAGGGCATTTGAGATTAAGGAAGGGGAGGATTTGGGAGATTCTGCTGTAGGGATATGCAACTTTCCCTTCCTTGGCTGCAATACCCTGGCCTACAGCACCCGTTGGACATCCCTGGGGAGTCGCTGGGCCCACAGCCCAGTGGGACACAAGCAGTAAGATGGTGGGGTGAGCTGGTCTTCTCTCACAGCGATGGGCAGGAGAGGACCCCCTACTGTGTCTCTGCTGACAAACTGACCCGCAACGCTTTCCGCAAGTTCATGGTGGACCACCCAGACAAGTACGACTACAGCCGTGCCAAGGTGGGCATCTGCCCTCGCCTTCTTGGGGCTGGGGGACCCTAGAGCAAAGTGCCCCTCACCCACTCATGCCATTGCCCCTGGCTCAGTGGGAGATGCTGACTGCCCTCTGCCCCCAGGTGCCAGGGCCCCTGACGCAGGAGATGGAGGCCAAGAAGCTGGAGAAGAAGCGGGCACAGAAAGCCCAGCGGAAGCAGCGGGAGCAGGCACAGCGGCAGGAGCGGCAGCGCTGGGAGCAGGAGCAGGGAGAAAAGCAGCGGTTCGCAGCCCTGTCTGACAGGGAGAAGGTGAGGCCATGCATGGAGAAGGGGATCCAGCCCAGCTGGGACAGTGCCAAAGTGGTGGGCTCCGGGCACAGCCGCTCCCAGGGGCTGGGGGCGATGAGCTGTCTCTCTGCTCCCCAGAGGGCACTGGCTGCTGAGCGGAGGCTGGCTGCACAGCTGCAGGACACCAACACAACTCTGGCCAACATCAGGTAACAGCTCTGGCAGCGTGGCTCCACAGACAAACTCTCCCATGTGAGCACAACTGTTCTCTGCCCTTCTTGCTCTAGTTCTCATTTACAGACTAAAGCTATTCCTGTCCACTCAGTTCCCAGCAGTGCCTGTCTAAAAAGCTTTCTCTCTCTTCCCCTGCCCCCCCTGAAATATTTTGCAAAGGACAGCTTGGTCCACTTGCAGCTAGATGTATGTCATGCCAACCCCCCAGCCACTCCTGTGCCCTTGTCCCCAACCCCACATCCTATGTCACTTCCCTATGCCACCCCACAGGTTTGTGAGCAGCCAGCCCTGCCCATGCTGATCTGGGCAGGGACTTTACAACCCCGTATGGGGTCAAATTCCCCCCATGTTCAGCCTGTCTCGAAGTGCCTTACACCAGGCTCCCATGCAGCATCACCTCCAGGGAGCGTGTCCTGGCCAGGCAGCTGGGTGAGCCCTGCAGAACCAGAGGAGCCCCAGCTCCCTCGTGCTGCTGGTGTCTCACATCACAGCCCAGGCAGTGAATCCTCTCTGCTCCTCTGACCCTCTTGCAAGTGTCCCCTTCGCTCAGGGCCACCTCTGCTCTTTCCTGCAGCCGCTGCTGGCACTGTGGAGAGTCCCTGCTGGGCCGGATCCCTTTCCATTACCTTGACTTCTCCTTCTGCTCCACGGCCTGCCTGCAAACCCACCGCCGGGCCCGGGCCAACCACAAGTGAGGCTGGGTACCACTGCCACCTGCCAAGGACCAGCATGGTGGGGACATGGCTGAGCACTGGCTGTGCGGTGGGAGAGAGCCTGTGGAACAGCACTGGTGGGAGGGACTGAGCTGGCCATGTCCCTCTCTGGGGTGATGCTGGCAAGGCTCAGGGCAAGAATGTCACTCTGGGTGGTGACTCTGGGGACATTACAATAGGGAGATCCCTACATGTTAGTGTGAGAGGCCAGGACTGCTCTGTGGCCTGGCTCCAGACGGGGGTCCTGCTGCCGGCTTTTATCATGGCTACCTCATAGGCTGCTTCCTGGGGCGAGGGGACAGATCCTGATACATCAGGACCCCACAGCCCTGAGCTACCTGCAGCCGTGCCTGTGGGCACCCTCGGGGCTGTGCTTTGCCTTCTCTCCTGGATGCTGTCAGCATCTCAGCCATTATCATGTTAGCAACTACATCCTCTGCCTGCATTGGCAATAAAGAGGTGCCTTGACTTGCTCAGTGTCAGCATGAGCACTGGAGCTATTTGGGATTAACATGCAAGACAAGCTCAATCCTGGGCTCCTTTCCCCTTAGCACAGACACTGCCTGGTGCCCCAGAGGAGGGCAGGAGCTCTGGATTTCCAGGGCAGGACCTC